GATAAAAAATATGTATTTTGTAATAAAAATTTGGAAATAAGACATTTATAAAACAACTTTTAATATTTTTGTTCATTTAATCTCAATTTAAAATGGAATTTTTATTGATAAATCCCATTTAGAAGTGTTTTAACCTAAGAAGTCCATGAAGAAATTTTTTAACCCATTTAGTCCCATGTATGTATAGTTTTATTCCATAAAGTCCTTTTTCTTGATTTACACTATTTTCTTGGACACTTATGCCCTTATATTTAATTTTGATACCCTTATAAATATTTTTTGAACGGTTAGCAATTTTATGATGTGAACATTCATATTTTTAAATTCACATTGGTAGGAATGTAAAATTGGCCCGTGGGCGGCCCGAAACCCACTCGCGAGCCGGGGCAGGCCCGGCCCGGCCCGTTGACAATGTGAATATTCACATTGACATGTTAACATTCACATTAATAGGAGTGTAAAATTAGCCTGCGTCCCGTGGCGGCGCGAAACCCGCCAACGACCCATGGGCGGCCCGGGGCGGGCTTGGTCCGGCCCGTTGACAATGTGAATATTCATATTAACATGTTAACATTCACATCAATAAGAGTATAAAATCGGCCCGCGGCCCATGGGAGGCCAAAAGCCCCCCCCCCCGCGGCCCGGGGCGGGCCCAGCCCGGTCCGTTGACAATGTAAATATTCACATTGACATATAAATATTCACATTGACATGTTAACATTCACATTGATAGAAATGTAAAATTAGCCCGCGCCCCGTGGCTGCCCGAAACCTCCCCACGGCCCATGGGTGGCCCGGGGCGGGCCAGGCCCAACCTATTAACAATGTGAATATTCACATTGATATGTTAACATTCACATTGATAAGAGTATAAAATTTGCCAACGGCCCAGGACGGGCCCGACCCGGCCCGTTGACATTGTGAATATTCACATTGACATGTTAACATTCACATTGATAAGAGTGTAAAATTGACCCGCAGCCCGTGGGCGGCCCGAAGCCCGACCGCAACCCGACCTGTGACATTGTGAATATTCACATTGACATGTTAACATTAACATTGATAGGAGTGTAAAATTTGCCCGCTGTCCGAAGCTTGCCCGCTGCCCGGGGTAGGCCCGGCCCGGCCCGTTGATAATGTGAATATTCACATTGACATGTTAACATGCACATTGATAGGAATGCAGGCCCGGGGCAGGCTCGTTTGGGTCCGGGCCTGAGCCGGTGGGTTGAGCCTCGGGTCGGGCCTATGGGCCTGGGCCTAGCCTCAGGCTTGGGTCGGGCTTGGGCGGGCCTGGCCATTTTTTTTTTAATTCTTTTTAATTTTTTCTACCAAAATTTTATTATTTTCCACAAAAAAGACAATAGGCCTCGGCGCGGGCTGAGCCTTGGACCGAGCCTTGAATGGGCCTTAACCGGGCCAATGGGTCGGGCCGGGCTTCAAAGTGATGGCCCAGGCCCTAGCCTAGGGTCTCGGACTAGGTTCGAGCCTGGGCCCAAACGAGCCTTTCCTGAGCCGCGGGCGGGCTTCGGGCAGCCTACATTCTTTTTGACTATTCCATTAAGTCCTATTTGAGGTAAGAAGACCAAAATACCATTTTCATCTACTTATATTCTATTTATTCCACATTATTTTCTTATGTTTCAATAAGTCCTATGGGAGACATAATTATCAAAACGTCAATGTGAATGTTCACAACGTCAATGTGAATGTTCATATCATCAATGCGTAGAGGCCCAGGCCGGCCCATATCGAGCCTCGTGGGTGTCCAAAAAAATCCGGCCCGGCCCGGCCCACGGGCCAAAAAATTAGGCCCAGGCCCTAGCCCTGGCACAAGGGTATTCGGGCTTTGGACGGGCCGATGGATCAAGCCTCGGGTCGGGCCGGTGGGCTTGGGCCTAGCCTCGAGCTTAGGTCGGGCTTAGACGGGCCTAGTCATTTTTTTTTAATTCTTTTTAATTTTTTCTACCAAAATTTTATTATTTTTCACAAAAAAAGACATTGTGCCTCGGGCGGGCTGGGCCTCGGACCGAGCCTTGAATGGGCCTTAAGCGGGCTGATGGGCCAGGCCAGGCCAGGCTTCAAAGTGATGGCCTAGGCCCTAGCCTAAGGTCTTGAACATGCTCGGGCCTGGACCCAAACGAGCCTGCCCCGGGCCGTGGGCGGGCATCAGGCAGCCCACAGGCCGGGGGCCAATTCTACATTCCTGTCAATGTGCATGTTAACATGTCAATGTGAATATTCACATTGTCAACGGGCGGGGCCGGGCCTACCCCGAACCGCCAGCACGCTTCGGGCAGCGAGCAAATTTTACACTCCTATCAATGTTAATGTTAACATGCCAATGTGAATATTCACGTTGTCACAGGTCGGGCCAAGCTCGCCTCAGGCTGCGGTCGAGCTTCGGGCCGCCCACGGGCGACGGGCCAATTTTACACTCTTATCGATGTGAATGTTAACATGTCAATGTGAATATTCACATTGTCAACGGGCCGGGTCGGGCCCGCCCTAGGCCGCTGGCCAATTTTATACTCTTATCAATGTGAATGTTAACATGTCAATGTGAATATTCACATTGTCAACAGGCCAGGCCGAGCCCGCCCCAAGCCGCCCACGGGCCGTGGACGGGTTTCGAGCAGCCACGAGGCGCAGGCTAATTTTACACTCCTATCAATGTGAATGTTATCATGTCAATGTGAATATTCACATTGTCAACGGGCCGGGCCGGGCCCGCCCTAAGCCGCAGGCGAGCTTTTGGCCGCCCATGGGCCGTGGGCCAATTTTGTACTCTTATCAATGTGAATGTTAACATGTCAATGTGAATATTCACATTGTCAACGGGCCGGACCGGGCCCGCCTCGGGCCGCCATGGGCCGCGGGCAGGTTTCGCGCCGCCACGGGACGCGGGCTAATTTTACACTCCTATTAATGTGAATGTTAACATGTCAATGTGAATATTCACATTGTCAACGAGTCGAGCCCGCCCCGGCCCGACTCGAATTTTTTCGGGCATCCACGAGGATCGACATGGGCTGGCCCCTACACATTGACGATATGAACATTCACATTGACAATGTGAACATTCACATTAGGGGTATTTTGGTAATTATGCCACCCATAGGACTTATTGAAACATAAGAAAATAATGTGAACTAAATGGAACATAAGTAAATGAAAAGGGTATTTTGGTCTTCTTATCTCAAATAAGACCTAATGGAATAGTCAAAAAGAATATGGATTGGATGGAATAAAGCTCTTAGAAAGTGGATTTATCAAAAAAGCTCCCATTTAAAATTCTATTAGTTTTTATTAAATCCTTTAAAATATTCCTCTACACTAAATGGACAAAATTAAACCATAGCGTACAGTCTACTTCATTTCCTCAATCAATAAAATCAAAAAAATTGATTCAGTGTTAAATTTGTTCCTTCAGCCCTGATTGAACCGAACTCTTTTACACTAAACTAAAATAGAGGTTCTTGCAACCTTATCCTAGGCCCCAAAATTCTGGATGAAGATCTAGAGGTTTTTTTTTTTCTTCTTCTAAATATTCCAAATTTTAAATAAAAAAAATTATAACCGGATGTCCGAGTCAGTTTACACCCACTTTAACTAATTCCGAAACCCATGGAAAGTGCCCTCCCCACGTGGATCGGGTAAATTTTGGAGACCTCGACTAATTTTGGGACCCATGCAATGTGTCTTCTTCAAGTAAATCGGGTAAATCTCGAACAGAACCCACAGGCGTTGTCCCAATGAGCGAATTGTTCCTAATGAGAGTTGAACCTGAGATTTAGAGAGAGCACACCCCTAAACCCCAAGTTACACCCACTAGGCCAAGTTGCACCCATTCATAAATTTAAGGGTAAATTATGCTGACACTCCCTGAGGTTTTTATTTATTACAGTTCCCCCCTCACCTTTTGGAAATTACATCTCCTTCCCTGAGGTTTAAAGTTTCATTACAGATTCCCCTCTCAGCAATTTAATTTTTTTAAATACCAATTTTGCCCTCATTGGGTAAATTACATTGACAGCACTCACATTTTAGAAATTACAATCCCCTCCCTAAGGTTTAAAGTAGCATTACCAATTGCCCACTCGGTTAATATTAGTTGGAAAAAAAATTATTTGAAAAAAAAAATTACTTGAAAAAAAATTTTGTTAGTAAAATTTTTAAATTTCTGTTTAAAAACCAACGTAAACACATTTTTTGAATTTACGTTTTTTCCTCAAATTTACAAACTGAGACCACCATTTATAAACCAAAAAAATTGTCAAACAAGTTTTTATGACAGTTTTTAAACTTTTTGTAAATATAAATTGAAAACTAAAAACGAAATGGTTACCAAACAGGCTTCAGATGGTAAAAATGTCATAAAATTAAAAAACAATTAAATAAGTTATCAATGTAAGAAATGACTTATCAAAACATTTTAGAAATTACAATCCCCTCCCTATTGGTGATGCACTTTTTTCTATTTTGATTGATGAAGCCCATGTGATGTAGGACAAGATTTTAAGACTTTTTGTATTTTTAGTTTTAATATTTTTGATAAATTATTTTATTAGGAATCTTGTAATTTAGTATAAATAATTTAAAATTATTAGGTTTCTTAATTTTATTATTTTATTATTCTATTCCTTGTGGATTCAAGGTTCTATTTTTCTCGTGGATTCGAGAGCCCCCTTTCGTCTACTAGAACGATATCTAGTCCCCGTGTATTCCGCTGTGTCACTTTTTGGTTTAGGCATCGACAAGGAAAAGAATCTGTACGGACTTGGCGTCGGATGAAACAACTCCTCCAAGACAGATTTTTACCACCAGATTATGATCAACACTTGTTTCACTTGTACCAAAATTGCAACCAAGGAAGTCGATCTGTATTTGATTATAAAACTGAATTTTGCCAACTTTTAGATCGCAATAATCTGAATGAGACCGAAGGATAGCGTGTAGCCTGGTATCTCAATGGGTTAAAATTAACCATTCGGGAGAAGATGGGGCTATCAGTAGTGTGGACTGTGGATGAAGCACATAATATGGCTCTCAAAGCCGAGCTAATGGAGCGCAAGACAACCTATTATGGATATCATCGGAACCTTCCTGATTCATCGTTTCCCACTAGGGAAAAAGGAAAAGGGGCTGCCCAACCAACAGTTCCAGTAAATCAGCAGAGGGGTACCGCTGGTGGAGGAGGAAACCAGATGACTGGATCAAGTAGTAGAGAGGCATCTCGAAACACAAATCCTTATGCCAAACCAACAACGGATAAGTGTTATAGATGTGGTACGCCTGGCCATCGCTCTAATGTCTGCCCAGAAAGAAGGACTGCTAATTTAGTTGAAGAAGAAGATGAAATTGGAGATAATGGAGATGCAGAATATGAGGGTGATCAGTATGAAGGTGCTAAACTCACTAGAGAAGAAGGAGAACGAGTCAACTATGTAGTTCAAAGGGTTCTATTTACACCAAAAGCTGAGGACCTCAGTCAACGTCACAGTATTTTTCGCTCTTGTTGTACCATAAACCAAAAGGTGTGTGACCTTATTGTGGACAGTGGAAGTTGTGAAAATTTTGTGGCTAAACGATTGGTAACACACCTGAACTTGTCTCCTGAACCACACCCCTCTCCCTACAGTATTGGCTGGATCAAAAAAGGACTTGCTGTCAAGATAACTGAAGTATGTAAGGTACCTATTTCTATTGGTAAACATTATAAATCTGATGTATTATGTGATGTGGTTGATATGGATGCTAGTCATGTATTACTTGGAAGACCTTGGCAATTTGATGTGGATATTACATTTAGAGGGCGAGACAACACTTATGCATTCAATTGGGGGTCTCATAAAATTGCTATGAGTCCCTTAAAGCAACACAAAGTGCCTCCGAAAGTCGAAGCAAAGTCTTTCCTCACTATAACCAATTCAAAGGCCGAGTTTGTGGCAGATGCGAAAACTTCACAAGAGTTATATGCTATGGTTGTGAAAACAATGGTACCTATGGCCAAGGAGAACACAGTCACTCCAATCCCTCAGAAAATTCAACCATTGTTAGAGGAATTCCAAGAGCTTACTGCTGACGAGTTGCCAGATGAACTTCCACCCATGAGGGACATTCAACATCAGATTGATTTCATACCAGGAGCAAGTCTGCCAAACCTACCACACTATAGAATGAGTCCAAAAGAGAGTGAGATCCTATGGGAGAAAGTTGAAGAATTGCTGCGGAAGGGACTTATTCATGAAAGCCTAAGTCCATGTGCTGTTCCGGCATTATTAACGCCAAAGAAAGATGGAAGTTGGCGAATGTGTGTAGACAGCCGACCCATCGACAAGATTACCATCAAGTATAGATTTCCCATTCCCAGACTAGATGATATGTTGGATATGCTGGAAGGATCAAAGTGGTTTTCAAAGATCGATCTGAGAAGTGGGTACCATCAAATTCAAATTTGTCCTGGGGATGAATGAAAAACAACATTCAAGACTAAGGATGGTTTGTATGAATGGTTGGTTATGCCATTCGGCCTTTCTAATGCTCCTAGCACCTTCATGCGAGTAATGCATCAAGTATTACGACCTTTCACTGGGAAATTTGTCATGGTTTATTTTGATGACATATTAATCTACAGTAAATCTGAAGAGGACCACATGTCCCATTTACGAGAGGTGTTGACAGCACTGGGGGTAAGCAAGTTGTACATTAATCTTAAGAAGTACAGTTTTCTTACAAGTAGTTTGCTGTTCTTAGGTTATGTGGTTAGTTCAGATGGCATTCATGTGGATCAAGAGAAGGTTCGAGCCATCCAAGAGTGGCCAACACCCAAGACTGTTAGTGATGTTCGGAGTTTTCATGGGTTGGCTACGTTTTATAGGCGTTTCATTCGAAGTTTCAGTACTATTATGGCACCAATAACAGAGTGCATGAAGAAAGGAAAATTCCTGTGGGATGATGATGCAGAAGAGAGCTTCTTGCTAATCAAAGAGAACTTGTGCACTGCACCAGTACTAGCTTTGCCCAGTTTTGAGAAGATTTTTGAGATAGAGTGTGATGCCAGTGGTGTGGGCATTGGGGCTGTCCTATCTCAAGAACATAAACCAGTGGCCTTTTTCAGTGAAAAATTAAGTGAAGCTCGGCAAAAGTGGAGCACTTACGACCTAAGAGAATAGGAAACTAGAATTCTTAACTGTTTAAAATCCTAGTTAAAATCTAATTCTAAAATAATAAAATTAAGAAACCTAATAATTTTAAATTATATATACTAAATTACAAGATTCCTAATAAAATAATTTATCAAAAATATTAAAACTAAAAATACAAAAAGTCTTAAAATCTTGTCCTACATCACCATGACATATCAATCAAGGAGCAAATGGCAATTGTAATACGATATGTTGACAAAAAAGGCCAAGTGATTGAGCGTTTTTTGGGTATTGAGCATGTTGCTAATACGAATGCTTTCTCGCTTAAACAAGCTATGGAAAATTTATTCTCAAACTTGGATTGAGTATTTTCAGATTATGGAGTCAAGGATATGATGGGGCTAGTAATATGCAAGGTTAGTTCAATGGTCTTAAAACACTTATACTGAAAGAGAATCCTTGTGCATATTATGTTCATTGTTTTGCTCATCAATTGCAATTGGCACTTGTAGCCGTGGCAAAGAATCATAATCAAATTGCTTTACTTTTCACTTTGGTTTCCAATGTGGTGAATGTTGTTGGAGCATCATGTAAACGCCGAGATATTGTTAGGAAGAAGCAAGCTGCAAAAGTTGTTGAGGCACTTAATACTAGAGAGCTATCTAGTGGGCAAGGCTTAAATCAAGAAACTAATCTTAAACGTGCTGGTGATACACATTGGGGTTCACACTATGGTACTTTAGTCAGCTTGGCTAGTATGTTTTCAACAGTGATTGATGTGTTTGAAATGATTTCGGAGGATGGTTCAAATTCAAAACAACGAGCAGAAGCAAATATATTGTTGGACTCAATTCAATCATTTGAGTTTGTATTCAACCTTCATTTGATGAAAATGATATTTTGTCTTTTTGTGAAAAGCATGAAATTGATGTTCCCCAAATGGAAGATATGTTTGTTGCTCAAGGGAGAAAAAGGTGCAATGCTCAAAAAATTACAAACTTACATTACCATCGCGCTGAATTATTCTACTCTATTTTGGATATGCAAATTCAAAAATTAAATGCTCGTTTCACTGAGTCGAACACTGAGCTGTTACTTTGTGTGGCATGTTTGAATCCATCTAACTCTTTCTCTAGTTTTGACAGGAAAAAGTTAATTCATCTTGTTGAATTTTATCCCAAAGAATTTTCTTCAGTGGAGCTCATGGTACTTAATGATCAACTTGATACATATATTATCAACATGCTATCCAGTAGTGAGTTCTCAATGTTGAATGGAATTGCCGATCTTGCTAAGAAAATGGTAGAGGCTGGAAGAGACAAAGTATATCCATTGGTGTATTTGCTCTTGACTTTAGCATTAATCTTACCTGTTGCAACTGCTACTGTTGAGAGGGTATTTTCAGCTATGAATATTGTGAAGAATTGGTTGCGGAACCGAATAGGTGATGAATGGATGAATGATAGCTTGATTGTCTACATTAAGAGAGATATTTTTGATGGCATTGACAATGATGCTATAATGGAAAGACTTCAAAAAATAAAAACTCGTCGGGGTCAATTGTAAAAGTTTAAAATTTAAAACTTTTTGTAATGGATATTAATTTTTAATGTTTAACATTAGTTCAAAAAATTATTATTATGTTATTGTTATTGATTGGAGAAGAAAAAATTTGAGATTGTAATTAATGGATGCCCCCCTATATTAAATTCCTGACTCCACCACTGTCCACTATCCATATGCCTCTAGCATGCTAGATAGTCTCAAAGTTCAACTTCGTAACTTCTTCTTCTTCTTTGTTGTTTTTTTTTGTTTTTTTTTTATTTTTTATTTTTTATTTTTTCCTACTTACACTTGTAACTTAAGCATGTGAAATTGTTTTGTATTTCAAACTATGAAAATCAGGACATGTCATAGTTTAGGAGGGGCTAACTCACTATACTTGAAACATCTAATAGCGTTTACTTCTAATATTAAGGGGAAATTTCAACTTAGCATAGTTTTTTATATAAAAAAAAAATTACAGATAAGTGATAAACTTTATAGACATTAATAATTAAAGTTATAATTTTTTTTTATAAATCTTTAATAATTTTTTGGTAAAACATCTGTTCGGTAATTTCCCCTAATATTAGTAGGAGTTTCTTGACCTTTGGTGGGCCATGGCCTTCTTAGCCACATTTTTTAAAAGTATTATGATTTACAGGTCCAAGCACATAAATAAAATAAAGAAAGTAACACATAAATAATATGAATGAACCAAATTTTAAAAACATTATTGGTAGACCTAATTATGAAAAATAGTGTCCATTCAAGTGAGTTTTATGTTTTATTTATGTGTTTCTAGACTTGTTGCGGAATTTTTGAATAAAATTATACATACCATGATATTTTTGTAGTTTATTTATTTTTTTTTTAGCAATCAATGGAAGAAAGTAAACATTTACAAAATATTGAGATAGTTATATCAAATTGGATAATCAATTAGCTTTTTTTTTTTTTTTTTTTTTGAGGGGGGTACTTTGTTGGTTAAATTGGGATAATAAAAAAATGCAATAAGATTTTGAAATTTATTTTTCACAAGGGTGAAAAAGGAAAGCTAATCTAGATGGAATTAATAATCCAACAATTCTAAAAAACACCAACAATCATATCAATTAAGAAAGAGTTTGTAAATAGGTCTCACCACTTAACACGAGATTCTCCTAGTATAGTGACTAGTTAATACATTGCTGTTCATAATTATAGTGATTCCAATTTCGACCCGACCCTTGTCGTATCCCGGACTCAGGTATCATGATTTCATATTGTTGTTCACATCTTACTTCCCATGTATCTTCTTAAATTTGGCTATTGGATTGTTGTGATTGTATTTGGGACAGGTTGGTTGCTTAGTTTCCAAACTCTTGTTGCCTAGACTTTTGCTCCTTTCCTCGAGTGGCGTTTCTTGTGCTCGAGTAGTGCCACTCGAGCAGGCTTTGTGAACTCTCAGTATTTTTGCAGGTCTGCAAAACTACTGGGAGAGTGTATTCTACGCTCAAACGGTTCTTTCTGCGCTCGAGCGTTGGTCTGTTGTCTACAAAACTACTAGAAGTGTGCATTCTGCGCTCGAATGGAACAACTTATTGTGTTTGACGCTCGAGCGTCACTTCTTGCGCTCGAGTGGACTATGCGTATATCAGTTCGTAGCAGCACCTTGTTACATCACTTTTTCATATCTTTTTCTCTCAAAACCCTAGATCGGGACCTTCTCTCTCTAAGACCTACCTTCTCTATACATTTTCACCTAGATATAGTGGTTTCTCTATCCTACTCTCTTTGATAAAAAGGTAGAGCGTCTTTAAGGCTACATTTCTATCTGAATAGAGTTGTGTTTGAGTATCTTTGAAGTTTCCTCCTTGCTTTGCTCGACTTCTAACTTTGAGATAGAGACTTTCTACACTCTCCTATAGTTTTTAACTTAGTTATTTGTTGATTGTGCAAATAATGTTGGGATTTAGAAGATTTTAGACAAACGTAGGGTTTTGGTTTAAAATCAAAAGAGAGGTTTTCAAATGAAGGTATTGAAAATGGTTATGGAATCGATATGAGGATGTGTTGTGTTAAATTTGTTAACTTTGATACATGGGTTGGATTTGGAAGGAAATGGAGTTTTACCCTAAAATGCTTCAAATGATTATTTTGTATAAATAATGAAATTGATATTGAGAATACGAAATTAGATGAATGTTTATATAAATGGTGGAGTTGGATGTATATTATTTCCCACCTATGAAAATTTGGATAATTTATCTATCTTGGAGATTGTATATTTGTTTAGAAATATTTGTTTTAGGCTATCGGTGGAGGATAACTATGATTGTTGTAGAAATTACATAAGGATTAGGTGAATTGAAACTAATCTCTTAACGGTTGTCATTGAATATGCCTGTGTTTTAATACGTTGTATATGTATGATATTTGGGAGGAGAAAGGAGATGTACTCCATGTTTGGGAGAAGAAAGGGGATGGACTCCATGTTTGGGAGAAGAAAATGGATGGACTCCATTGAATTAAGTTGGTCTGTGTGTCCAGGGTGAAAGTCCCAAAAACTGTGCGTATACACGGGTGCCGATTCCGGCAAACGAAATTTTCGTAAAATGACAAATTGAAGTGTTTGTGTAATGGTTGTATTGATTAGAGAATCACTGAGTTGTAGCCTTAGTTGGGTTGTCTGGATAACATTGGATTCGACTCATGAGTTGAGGTGAAATGAATTAACTTGAAATGAATTAAGATAAAATGGCTCGAGATATGAAACTTGGCATATTATGATCTTGGAACAATAC